CTGCCCTCAGTCTCCTGAGTAGCCTGGGACTACAAGGCGCCCCACCCGACACGCCCGGCATAATTTCCTTTTGTAGTTCAAGTGAGCAGATAAGCACATGTTTAAAAACACCACTCCCTAGAGCTGCCCACCGGAGACCCACAGTACCTGACGGAGCTGGCGCGCTACCGCCGCTGGGGGGACTCCGTGCTCCTCGTGGACTTGTGAGGACACAGGGCAGAGCAGGGGCAGGGGGCCTGAGCTCTGTACTTTGAGGGTTCAACCCCCACTCCCTGTCCTCTCTTACAGGACATACGAGGAGATGCCACAGAGCATCGTGGAGGCCACCTCTAGGCTCAAGACCTTCAACCTGATCCCCGCTGTTGGTGAGCTAAGGCCCAGGCCTCCAGAGTGTGCACGTGCAGTCTCCACTGTTAGAATCACAGCAGTTCAAATCCAGCATCTGATCGCTGAGTGGCCTTGGGCAGTGACCACGCGCCCAGACCCAACTCTCAGCTTGCCCAAAGCAATAATCTTTCCTAAAGAGGTGCTTCAGGCTGTAGTGCAGTGGCGCAATCATAGCTCACTGCAGCCTTGAGCTCCTGGGCTCAAGTGATCTCCGTCCTCAGCCTCCCAAAGTGCTGGTATGAGCCACCTTCGCCAGCCCTGTCTCAGAGTGTGACAGCTGGGGAAACTGAAGCCCAGTGAAGCAAAGTCACTGGTCCCATGTTGTCCCTGATCCAGCCTCCCCTGAGGCCCCACCCTCTCTGCCTGATTCCTGGCAGTGCCCCCTCTCTCCTGTCACCCCATGCCAGCCACTGCAGCAGATTGCTGACCTCCAAGCTCTGCAGTGGCCCCTCCCTGCTCACACGCCTCTGTCCCCACAGGAGGTGTTGCCCATGGCCCCCGGGGCCCCACGAGTTACTACTACATGCTGCCCATGAAGGTGCGGGCCCTGGGCCTCAAAGTGGCACTGAGCATCAAGCTGGCCCAGGTATAGCCATGGGGGGCCCAGACAGCTGCTAGAGGTGGGGCTGCTCTGGACCCAAGGACTCTGGCGAGGAGGTAACTGGGGACAGGGTGGAGGGGACGGAGAGGGGTGGGGGAGCCAGGGAAGGACCTGGGTGTTTACTCACACACGGCTGTGCACATCTGGCGTGGTATCGTGTCAGCCCTGTTCCCTCCACCTCATGGAACCACTGGGCTGGTGACATTGGAACTGAGGTCCTTGGACCTCACTACCCATGTTGGGGGACAGATCTGGGAGCCATCCACTCCTCCTTCTCTCATGCCCTCCCTCTTCAGCCCGTGGCCACAGCCCCTCTTGACCTCACCTCCTGTCATCCTCTCCTGACCCACACTTCCCACAGCACCCGGAGAGCTCTTCCTAAATCTCCCACCTCCCTCAGCCTTTGCGTGGAACCTGAACTCCTCCTTGTCATCGTGGGCCCTGGTGGCTGCACACCTTGCCCCCTCATCCCCTCCTTTCCCTCTCTGACCAGGCAGAGATGACTAAAAAAAATTAGCCTGGCATGGTGACGGGCACCTGTAATCTCAGCTACTTGGGAGGCTGAGGCTGGAGAATCGCTTGAATCCAGGAATCAGAGGTTGCAGTGAGCCGAGGTCGCACCACTTGCACTCCACAGCCTGGGTGACGGAGTGAGACTGTCTCAAAAAAAAAAAAAAAAAAATCAATAGTTCAGAAAATACCGAGCACCCCCTGCATGCCCGGCGGCAGAGCCCCTGCCTTTGTGAGGCTGGCATGGGGCAGGAGCTCTGACTTCTTTACCCTCCCCCTCGGTCCCCAAGCTCTCTGTGCTTGGCCTGAGAGAGCCCATCATCATGGTGCCTCCTGCCTGACTTCCCCATGGCAGGACTGATCTGCCCGGCTCCCTGACACCTGCCTCGTGGACCTGACCCCCTCCTCACTTTGTGCCTCCAGAGCTATGCCAAGACCAAGACGAGGGCCGAGGTACGGGGTGGTGGCCGGAAGCCTTGGCCACAGAAAGGCACCGGGCGGGCCCGGCATGGCAGCATCCGCTCTCCACTCTGGCGAGGAGGTAACTGGGGACAGGGTGGAGGGGGCGGAGAGGGGTGGGGGATCCCTGCCTCAGCCTCCCAAAGTGCTGGGATTACAGGTGTGAGCCACCATGCCCAGCTCATTTTCAGTTGTTTTCTG